GACAACATTTAATGTACTAGGGACTAGAATACAACAGCGACAACATTCTAATGTACTAGGGACTAGTCACTGACGCAGCTTACCCCCCCTCCCTCCCCTTTCCCAAATGGGCTCCAAAACCCACCGAGAAGGTGGATAACTGGGGGGGGGGATACCAAATAAATACATGTGCACACACACACACACTTTAATTAAATCATTACATATCTGTAAAACGCATGTTCTTTTCTGCAAAACCAGATGTTATCACGCATGAACAGGAACGTCAGTAACCGTAACCCACCCCCGTATAGCCTGCATATACCCAACAGTTCACGTACCCATACTACAAGACAATTGCCAAAACCCTATTCTAGTGCCATTCTAGTGCTGACGGCTCCAAAAAAACATGTCCGGTGTGGGCTGTAGTAAGTGAAGGCTGCAGCAGACTATGACTATGCTTTGGCCCGAGAGCTAACTGGGGCCTTGGGTTCGGGGCTGAGGGTAAAACATGTAATGTAGATGCCTGAATAGTTCGAATAGGGTTTTGGGGCATACTATACGATAACTATAAGAAGGGGCCCCCAAAATAGTGCAAGTAATTACTGCGGCCCCTATATTCAGCCTCTCGGCCCAAAAGCCAAACTCCAGAGCGCCCAATGTCGAAACACACCCTAGCAAGGTGTATCTGCATAAGTTCCCCTAAGCCCTAAGCCAGTGCTTTTATAATTAGAATGGGGTTTTGGGTTCCGTTATGGTATACTTATGATGAGGAACCCTGAGGAATATTATGGGTATTTAGTTTGGCATCTGTGAAGGACCGCGAAAGGGTATCCCTGATCCAGCCTCTGCAGAAAGCTTCAACTGGGTGACCTTGTCTTTGACAACCTGGGGGTGTCAGAGAAACACGTCTCCCCTCTTCAGGGGTCTGTTGGGAGTTATGGTACGCTGGGTTCACTGTCCATTGCCATTGCGTCCAAAGCAGGCGAGCTGACCATCTGACCGCACTGCACAAGTACGCAAAGCGTCCGTTGAGACTGCCAAAACTGGTCCCAAATCTGCTGGGACGTCACACTGACCATCACGACTGTATCCAAAGCAGACGAGCTGACCATCTGGCCGCATTGCACAAGTATGGTATCTGCCCGCTGCTTGCTTCCGACACCTTAAGTACTCAACGGCAAGACAGGCGTCTGAGTACATGCCAAGTAAGACCGTAGACGCTGCAACAAATAGTTCTCGAACGCCGGAATCCCATGCATACTGGAATTGAACTGCTCCTGAAGTGCGCGTTCTCCCGTTGTTTTCTGCTCGCTTGCGCTTTAGGAATGCGCGGGTTTAAGGCGAAGGGATACCCAAACGGCCAAAATCGGTGCCGAGCCACAACTCGAATATACGAGGGGTTGATGTCCACATCCAACGCTGACGTGTCCAGGTACCTGCTTTGTTTTGTAATCTCCTTCAGTATTCAGGCCCAGCCAAAGCCGAAGCTGTTCTATAGGACGAAACATAGAAAACCGAAAAGTTGATTCAGGTTCGGGTCAGTAAGGTATCTTCGGTCTGACGAACAACATGATCATCGTCATCCCCATGCTCACCATCATCACATGCCCATCACATTCGTCATCATGCTACTGCTAGGCATTGCTGTCATTATTGCAACCTCATGAGGCAACGTTCCTCTTCACCACAGGTTCAGCTTCATCACATATAACCATGGCTCTTGTCACCTTGACTCGAACTGTTTCCAGCAGCGTTCAGTAAACAGCTGCATAAAAATAAGACCACAGCATCAGCAGAAGCAACACAAAAACTCACGTCAGCAACACAATCGCAAACAGCAACAGCTGCAACAAAAAACAAAGCCCGCATGGGATGCCGGCGCACTTGGGGACAGCCAGCTCGAAGACGATCTTGTCCGGATGTGTCCAGTCGTCCAAGTCGAAGTTGTACTTGCCCTCGTTGCCTCGTTAGGGCCCCAAAAAAACACATAAGCAAAATTAGGATAGGGGTATCCCATATAAACCCCCTTATAATGAAGCCCAATAAGGTAGGGATATCCCTATAAAGTGCTTATGCTTATGTCCTTGTTGGGGTTCCAGGGCTTGGGAGGTGGCGGGCCGGGGTTTAGGGTTTAGGGTTTTGTATGAGGTATGTACATGTTATGTTTATATAGAGACACATCTATGCATACACGCATGAGATAGGATGATAGTGATAGCTAGAAAGAAAAATAGATAGAAAGATAGGTAGATAGGTAGGTATATAGTTAGGTGGATCGACCGCTAGATAGGTAGAAGATGGCTAGATAGATAAACAGATAGAACGGTAGAGAAGATGGATGGATGGATGGATGGATGGATGGATGGATGGATGGATGGATAGATAGATAGATAGATAGATAGATAGATAGATAGATAGGCAGATAGGACAGATAGACAGATAGGTAGATAGATAGGTAGATAGGTAGATAGATAGATAGAATAGAAGGTAGACATGTTAAAGCAAAGGCTCGATCCACACGAAGGACTCGAAAGGCATCATAAGTTGGACGACCCGGCCCTGGCAAATGAAAGGCAGCTAAGACCTGAACCACAAACTGCAAACCGCAAACCTGAAACCCCAAACCGGTTTAGGGTTTAGGGTTTAGGGTTTAGGGTTAAAATTAAACCCCAAACCCTAATACATAGAATAGGGTTTTGGGGCATAGTATACTATGACTATAATAACGAACCCCCAAAATAGTATAGGCAAGTATTAAGGCACCTACATTAACTTCTAAACCATGAGCCCTGAGCCCAAAAGCATGGAGCGTAAACTCTGGCTGAGGTGAGGACATTGGCGAATCTCACCACGGGCATTGTAGACACCAGGTCTCGGCAAGAGCTAGCGGCAAATCTGCAGAGAAAGGGCTTAAGGTTTAGGGCAAATCCGGGCTGGATCATGGTTGTTGAAACTCTGCACTAAACCCTAAACCCTAAACCCTATATTATAAAACCTAAACCCTAAACCCTAAACCCTCGCTACGGCCGCTACGGCCCCGAAACTCCCGGAAAGCCCATCGTCCCCAAGCTCAGATCTAGGGGCCTTAATAAGTAGAATAAGG